TGAGTTTTAGTTGATCCCTTTAACTACTTAAACACTTTTGACGTAAGATGGTTTATAAAACACAATATTTATCACAGTTTAAGAGTGAATATATATTTTCATTTTAAACTTTTCCCCACATATGTTTAAATGCTGAATGTGAATCTGTACTGTTTCTCTGTAGATGTTGCAGTTTTAGCTGCACTAATTTTGAGACAGACACAAAACTAAGGAATCGATTTTTATTTTGATCGAATTAGTTCATTATTTATGTAAAATAAAGAATATTAATCAATACCCTAAATATTAATTTCACCAATGGAAAAATTAGGTATATATTTCTCACTCCCGCCCTCTACCCTTAGAGATAAAATTTATTTCTGGATTTTCAATAAACTTTTATGTTCTTAAAAAAATGGAGACAAAATTATTTTAAGAACCTAAAGCAATTAATAATTTATTTAGATTGGCGTGACTGTTCGTCATTTAGTTTAAAAATAGCTGGATTGTTTTCATTGCAGTAGGAGGAAACTATTTACATAAATAATATTGGTTGCCATTATAATGTTCATTACTTTTTAAATAAATACTACTAATGGAGCCCAGACATTATTAATATTTTATTAGAAAAAGAACAAAGGAGGCAGCACGGTAAACAGTAGTAAAGATTAAAGACGGAAACATCCAAAAACATCAAAATAAAAAACGTTTTATTCTACATATAACTCAGCGTGTGCTGCTGTTAGGTAGACAACGTAGCTTAACAGCAGAAGAGCTGCTCTAAAGCCCGGATAAAAGAAAAAGATTCGAATGTGAGGCAAGCAACTTGGTCGGGTAAAAACGAATCACTTTCAGAGAACTAACCACAAAGCATAGCATTTGATGAATTTGAGTACGAACTCAGCAAGGAAAAGGACTACTAGTTAGAATACCGAACTACGCTTAACCAGCTGGAATATTCAATCGTGAGTAAAAAATCAAGAAATTTCTAATAGAAATCACAACCCAAACCAGACAAATCACAAATTATGCTGGGGCGATTTTTTATTAAAAATGTTATAATAAAAAACCACCCCAATAAGTTACATATAAAATATCTAAAAATCATGACAAAAAGATATATTATTGCCTATAAACATAATATATTGGGAATAATATTTTTAAACAATTGTCAACAGACGATCGAGTAGAATTCACTATATTCTTCCTTTATATATATATATATATATATATTATATATATATATATAAATATATAATATATATATATATATATCCATCAAAGAAATAATGAAATGTCAATGACGCATGATCTCTTAAGTTATTGTATAATTTAGCTGTCCCTATGAGTTTTACCAAGATGGAATTTAATTTTCAAAATTTTTTTTATTTCAAATCCTTTATAAAAGGTATATAATAAAATACCCAAACGGGCTATATCACAATTACATTACAGAACGTTTTCGGAACATAAATTCCATTATCAGTGTAACCTGAAAGTATATAACCACTTTAATTAAAAAGAACGTAAAATTTAAAATGTTGACTAAGGTTAATGCAAAATGTGATGAGGAAGTTGATCAATTTTATGAAGATATCAGAGCAGCTACACAAACTTCAAAAACACATTACACATTGATAATTTGAGATTTTAGCAGAATCTGCTATGGGAAACTTTGGATTTGGTGAGAGAAATGAGAGAGGTAACAGGCTTCTTGACTTCTTACATCAGGAAAATCTTTTTGTGATGAACTCATTCTTCGGAAAGAAACCACAACGTAAGTGGACATGGAAGAGTCCGAACTAAAGAACAAAAAATGAGATTGATTTCATAATATCAAATCGGAAAGATATTGTTCAGGATGTAACAGTATTGAATAAATTTTCAATAGGGAGTGACAATAGACTAATTAGAGCAAAAACCACTTTTAACACTGAAGTTGAAAGAACAAAAATGACCCTCAAAAATATAAGTGGAAGGTGGATGTTCCCAGAAGATATAACACTTTACGAAGAAAATATTAAGACTAGTTTGGATACACACGACTTAGAGAATATCAACATCAATGAAATTAACAATAATATTACTCAAATATTGAAAGAAGCTGAAAAGAAATACTGTCCTCGTCCTGAAAACAATAACAAAAAATTAAGCCATAACACAAAACATCTTCTAGAGGAAAGAAGAAAACTTAGGGAAAATCAGGATCATAACCAAAATGAACTATTTGAATAAGAATGAATGAATTTTGAATAAGAAAATTAAAAAGGAAGTTAGAAAAGATCTGATACAATACAATACGATGGGAATAACTAGAGTAATAGAAGAAAACAAAAGCTTGAAAGTACTCAGACACAGCATGTCCATTGGAAGAAAAAATGTCAACAAATTAAGAAATGAACAGGGGCAAATCATTGAGGATAGAGTTCAAATTATGAACACGATAGAGTGTTTTTATAGACAACTATACAAAGAACAGCAATATAACCGGAGTGGATCATTACCAAAGATAATCAATCAGGGATCTGAAATTTTACCGGACGTAACACCCAATGAAGTTCGAAGGTCAGTGCAAAAAATAAAAAACAATAAGTCCCCGGAGGCGATGAAATAGTGGTAGATGCCAAGAAAGTGGCTGGAAAAAGATTATGGCAGGTCCTTGCCAAACTATTCACTAGATGTTTGCAGGAAGCAATAACACCAACCCAGTGGTATAACGCAGAAATTATCATACTTCATAAAAAAAGGGGATGCTACCGACCTCACAAATTACAGGTCCATAAGTCTACTTTCACATATTTATAAACTATTTACAAAAATAATTACGAAATGACTAGAAAATAAATTGGAATTTTATCAGCCCATAGAACAGACAGGTTTTAGAAAAGGCTATGGAACAAACGATCACCTACTGGTAATAAAAAATCTTATAGAAAAATGCACTGAATATAATAAACCACTAGCTTTAATATGTGTCAACTATGAAAAGGCATTCGACACCGTAAATCAACAAAAAATGTTGGAAGCCTTGACAGAAATTATAGATGGACAAAGAGGATACTGGAATGGAGACCAAGAGATGATGCCTACCGAAACAGAGGTCGTCCACCAACACGTTGGACTGACGATCTAAAACGTTGTCATAGGAATTGGATGCAAGAGGCACAAGATCGAAATAGATGGAAAATTATGAGGGAGATCTATGTCTGGCAGTGGATAAGATTGAATGATGATGATGATGATACATGCTATAAGCTACTAAAATATATAGGTAAAAACCCGTTAAATGTTGTTAATATAAAGTTTTGTTACATTATATATTATTACAAATTAAGATGTTTAAGTTACCGTTGGAATTGGTAACATGGCGACGTATGATTCTACGTAGGTTACATGATCCTGAGATAAAGTGTATTCGAGGACCTGTTGATAACAACTGATAAAAATGACAATATTGACATCCTGGACGGATATCAGAACAAAGCAGTCAGTGCAACTTACGGAAGTTGTCTAAATATGACAGAAGACATTATTTAAAATGGAATAAGTTAAAATTATAATAACATAAGAGTATCAATCATCAATGTTTAGTTTGTAATGTGAATTAGTCCTATATTTATATTGAGAACATTGAAAAAAAAATGTTTTATAAATTAATGCAGGTAGACTGAAGTACGGTGAAATTTTGTAGGTATCGATAGGCAACCAACAATACATATGTCTAAATTTATTTGTTTTTAACTAAAGATTTTAGCAAAAGGCCCTGTATGTTATGAAACATTTGATACCTAGAAAATGGTAAAAAAATACATTTATGTAGGAAGATGGGTTCTTTAAACTGTATTGCTGAGGAATAATATATTAATTGATATGTTTAAATGTGCTGTTAAGATGAAATTTAAATATGATAAAATATTTTTTTAATGTAATATTCATATAGTACTTAACTTACAACTTAAGCATGGAAGGCCCTCTATGTCAAAAAACAACATTTGGTACCTGGTAAATATAAAAGATATTTTAAGTTATAAGTTCATGAACATAAATTACTGGTTCGGTGTGAAGAATACAGATGGTAAGTTGTTTTTGTGTGTTGACAAGTATACAAGACAAACAGAAAATTGATGACTGAAAGGTGGTTTGGTATTGTATTGTTCATACATTGCTCAAGTTATAACTTAAGAAAAAAGAAAAAGGCTCTATACGTTAAAAGGAACATTTGATACCTGAGAAATATAAAAAGGATAAGATAAGTTTTGAGCTTAAGGTAGGTAGATGAAGTTAATAGGCTTTTAGTGTGTATTGTAAAGATATGTAAAAACTGCAAAAGTAGTTGGGTTTTAGGTGGCTCTGTTAAATTTAACTAAAGATATGTGATGTTTTAATATTGCTGTTGTGAAAAGACTCTATAAGAGGCTGAAGTCTCCAGAGATCCGAAACCAAACCCTGAGGGAAAGTGGATGAGTAAAATAACGTGTAGTAAAAACACTATGAGAAGGTGATGATATGTGGATAAGTAGGTGGAGATGTATGCTAATGAATGATTTAGAGGGGAAGTGCAATAATCTGCTCTGAATGAAGTTTGTTGAAAAGGAGCATGGAGAATATTAGGTATGGGGTCAGACTTAACGCTTAGATTCCTAGAAAGAAGTAGGGAAAGATGGGGAGTTGGATATGTTGAAAAAAGTTTGAGAGGACTAAGGAGGATTAGTAGGTGATAAGAGAATAACGAAAAGTCTAAATACTAATGAAGAAGTAAAGTGAGAATGAGGGTTATGAGAATAGTTGACGATGGAGCGGAAGGAAGTCTCGATTGAATGAGACATGGCGATTAACACAATTTGGACTTCTCTGTTTTTCTTTAATAGTTTCTAGTCTTCATATAAGTCTAGTCAGAGAAAGTTTTTTTAAAGGGATATTATAAATAAGTGAAACGTCTTCTGGAATATTGAGGAAGTTCTTTAAGATGTTGACAAAAACTGGAAGTATTTTCTATTTTTGTGTGCTCTAGAGAGCATAAACATGTTCTTCCTATGTAGGTGGCATCACAATCAGAACATTTTAGTCTATAAACACCACTACGGTTCATATAATTGATGGGGGCTTTAGAATTAGATATATACTGACCCAATTTATTGGGTACTTTACGTAATATGATAGTTTTCTTTTCAAAGAAAAATTAATTTATATTTAAATAAAAACAGGTAATCAAAAGTATTGGCTGTTTAACTTCTGAAAATCGTAAAATAAATATATTCCATATTTATTTCTCTTAATGACCTAATTAATTAAAATTGCCTCATTACCTATAATTTTCGTAGTGATCTATAAACAAATAAATCCCGATAAATACCACTTTCTACATTTATATTGCAATCGTTTTCTGAAAACTAGATGCTCTGTTTTATATCACGTTGATTAATTTGTTTACAGTCATTCCATCCCAATTACGTTTTCCGACACTGAAACTGTATAGTACTTTCCACGTATTCGAGTTGATGAGATACCATTAGATTAATATTGAAATACTTCCGCTGAATTCCCATTGATACATCCAGTAGTTACAATACATAGTGTGTTACTGTTTTTTGTTTTAGATTATGAAACATAGCTTTCGGGAAAAATAGTAACCGGATATCTTTAATTTTTATTAAATCAATAACCCCATATTATTATTTATATACTTATTAAATACTTATTTAGTTTTAACACATATCTATTTTATAAATTTATTCTTGATATATCGATAATAGACTACATAATAATCAAACAAGATACCACAATAAAGATCAAAGATGTGCGAGTCAGAAGAGGTGCAGAATGTGCATAAACTACTGACAGCAAAAATGTGCATTAATTGGAAACATAACAAGACCCCTTCTACAGAAGAACCGTTGAACACTATAAGAAAAAAAAATACACTATAGAACTACTCCAAGAACAATCAATAAGAGAACTATACCAACAACGACTAGACCAAAAACTAATAGAATTTAGATACAGCAACATCGAAGAAATATACGAGCATATAAAGGCGAGTATAAAACAAGCAACATTCAAAGCCCTTGGAGAAAAAGAACATATAACAAATAAACAGTACCATTATGAAATAAATGAACCAACAAAAAGAATAATTAAAGAAAAAAGCAACTATACAGAAAATGGCTGACTACTAAAAACGATGAAGTTTATAAAGAATATAGAGAGAAAGATAGAGAAGTGAAAAAACAAATAACACAATAAAAGAATGAAGAATGAAAAATAACTTGCTTAAATATTGAAACATACATAGGAGGTACAAGAACTTCGGAGTCATGGAAAGTACTGAGAGGATTGAAACAAAACTCAAAAGAAAAAATTAAATTGGAAAATATACAGGACAAAGAATGAAAGGACTATTACAAAGAACTGTTAACAGAACAGAGACCACAATTCATTGAAAAAGACAACAGGCGAAGACGAAGCAGATTCCCAAAATAAGAAATAGAAATAACAAATAGGGAAATGAGAACGGCCATAAAAGCAATCAAAATTAAGAAAGCACCGGGACCTGGAGGAATCTCACCTGAGCTTATAAAATACGGCTCAAAAAAAATTACACCGGATAATGCAATGCATATTTCAGAAAGCCATAAATGGAGAGCAGCTCCCAAAGGAATGGACGGAGGCATATATGACATCTAAATTTAAGAAAGGAGATAGAAACGATGCGAAAACTAGAGAGGAATAAGCGTAATATCATCAATAGGAAGATTATATGGAGGATACTGCGAGAAAAGATAGATCAAGCGATAAAATGCAAAATCGGGGAGGATCAGGCAGGGTTCACGGCAGGAAGATCATGCATAGACCACATATACACACTGGAACAACTGTTGGAAAAGAAAAAAGCAAAAAACAGAGATATACATTTGGCATTTGTGGGCCTGAAAAAGGCGTATGGATCTGTACCAAGGTCAGAACCATGGGAGGAAATATACAAATTATAAATAGAGACGGAACTCATAGAAGCTACAAAAGCTCTATATAAAGAAAATAAACTGTCCATTAAAGTGGGATCCATTGTGTCCATTAAATTTAATAACAAAAAGAGAAATCATACGATTTCTACCTGGCGAAATCGAATTCAAATTTTTGACCACTGTGATTTTTAAAACTTACAAAGCAAACATCTTGATAAATAACTCGACAATGGAATCTAAGATTGCATTCCACATGCCGTTTATCATGGTCAAAATTCGTAGTGAATTCAATTTCTGGTACTTCAAACGGAGTAGAGAAATAAAATATAAAGAAGGTACTAGATTTCTGTTTCAATACAGAGGGGTGGCAAGCCGCTTATACGTATTTCGATCTCTTTAAATCTTGATTTTGCCAGGTAGAAACCGTTTGATTTCCCTTTTTGTTATTAGATGGCGTAGTTACGTCCGTATATAGTTATTTTAAAACTATTGTCTAAGACGGGAATATATTTTGTTTTGATCCATAGGGGTGGCTATACCGCTCTGACGAGATCTAAAGAGCTTTTATTTTTAATTCAACCACAAAAAATTATTCACATTATTAAAAACCTATACAAATGAAGCACCTTATAATGGTCAGTATATTTTTATCGGGTTTATGTTATAAGAAATGAACCGGGTCTACGTAAGCAAAACAAAAATCGACGGACGGAGTTGCATATCCCTTGCGTTGTTATGTGTTACTATATGGCGTTCTCGTTTTCAGTCTAGGACTAGGTGTCATAGCGGAAGGGATCGGAGAATTACAATTATAATCTAATTTTAAGAAATATTCTTAATATTCTGTTTATGTGTTGTTAAACTATTATTAGTAATAACCATTTTACAATTCACACTGTTTTGCGTTATTTTTACATATTATTCGTTAATAATTGCTGTCTTGAATACCAATTTACAAGCGTTTTAAACACGTTTTTATTTAAAGCTAAAAGCAAATACAATCAAGATAAAAAACGATATAAAAAATAAAAAATATATTATTAGTATGAATTAAATTTTCCTTACCTCGCTTTTGCTTATCACTAGTAATATCACTAAGGCGGTCGCTAAGTAAGTCTTGAGTAAGCGTATCTTGTTCATCCTGATCTTGATCGTTTTCAGGATTATTCAAAGAAAGTTTATGGCACACCTCGAATGCTTGACCTACAGTCCGAACTACCCGCATAGCTTGGCTCTGGAACAAAAGAAAAACATTATTAAAACTCAACACATTTTTACACAAAAAAACTTTTAACGCCAAAAATGAAACAGAACTTATTTACTATCTGCACAGTTTTTTCAATTTTTCTCTCCCCTTGTGTGTTTGTGTTAAGAAAGAAGGGATGACATTAGGTAATCTTTTTGCCATATATATTTTAAAACTTAAAGACATCATATTAAATCTTTAATTTAGAGTCATTTAAACGCAACCTCCATTTGTATATTTATTATTTGTCAGTCTACCTTTTTTACCGCTTACTAAAGTACTATTCTGAATACTTTAGGTGATATTACATCCTCTCCTTCACTCTCTCTCTATATTTTATAATTTTACTGTTTGTCTTTCATTTTACGGTGAGTATTGTTTTATTGTATAATATATTGTTGTAGTGTAGTAGTCTCGTATATAGTTCCACTATGTCAAATTATTTGTGAAAAACCCTTTATGGTGTCTACGGCTCTACAGAGCGGGCAGATAAAGAAGTAAAGATACCTTTTATAGTAAATTATAGGAAAAGATCATACAGTACCAAAACATGATGCAAAACACTCTTATTTTGGAAAGACACGCAAAAGATTTACAGAACGTATATACATGCAGAGTACATCAATGGTAAGAGTCTTGGCACCAGATCACAATTTCAAGTAGTAATGTCATACTTGAAAAGAAGATTTTAACTTTCATCATATCGCCAAAGACTAGAACATTGACCCACCTGGTATACTTGTACACGTACATTATACATTATACATAAACCAAATTAAAAAGCCGCATTCAGGGGTCGTATTTAGTGATTTACTTGGATATATAACAATGTGATATATATTCACTGTCATGGACAAAAAACATACTGTAGTAAATCAATAAACGACTTAGATTCCATAAATTAATTTGTTTACTTCTGTGTTTAAAATTTGTCATTTTATTTTAGGATTATTTAGTCTGATGATACATAAACTTGAACTTGTAAATTTAATTTTAGGTTTTCAATTTTAGACGTAAAAGTATGCAGTGACAGCCAGGAATAATAATTTTAAAATTTAATTTGAAACCCAACTTAAAAGGTCAAACAAATTCGATATTTAAACAATATTTTTTTTTCTTTAATTTATCGTGCTTGTGACAGCTTCGGCGATTAGCACGAGGCACTATGGAAATAATTATATGTAAGATACAATTGCATATTCTATACTATAGTTATATATTATTTATTATTTAATAAGTTTTCTAGCTTCAGGAACTGGATAGCTGTGATGACTTGGCTCTGGTTCGATAATAATATATCTGTGATGATGCCCTTCATGGCCAATTCTTGACGTCGTTTATTATAATGAGGACAGTCCACAACGATGTGTAGAACACTTGGTGGAGATTGGCAATAGTGATAGATTGGCTTAGGAAAAGAATCCATTAGGTGACCATATGTAAGTCTGGTGTGACCGATACACAATCTTCTAGCAACAACCATTTCATTCCTAGGTATACCACAGATAACGAACCGCTCAATCGTCTCATCTATTTGGTGTAGAAGTGTAGTGGACTGGCTCCACTGATTCTGCCAGTAGTTACACACGAGTTTCTTTATACTACTTTTTTGGTCACTGGCGATTTGTACTACGTAGTGTACAATTAGATATAGCATCTTCTTTGGCAAAGCGATCGACGTTGTCGTTACTCGTTATCCCGATGTGAGAGGGAATCCATATGATCGTAATATGGATGTCGTGGATGATAAGATTTTGGTAAGTGTCATGGATTTTTTCTGTAAGAAGCTAATTAGTGAATAGATTATTGATGGACTGGATAGAGGCAAGGGAGTCTGCACAGATGGGAATATGTTGATTAGGTGCTGTGCAGAGTTTGAAGGCTTGGTAAATAGCATACAGTTTACCAGTGTGAACGTTGCATGTGGCAGGTATTTTACATGATCTAACGACTTTTTCCGTAGTGGTAACCGCACAACCAACCCCCGGTAAGCTCTTTGATGCGTCAGTGTAGAGGACACGATCGAATTTCTTAAAATTAAGAATTTCTAGTGAGGATTTCCTAATTAAATCCTAGTTGGTTTCAGACTTACTAAACTTTGTAAGTGACACATTAAATTTCAGTATAGTTTTGGTAGAAGGAGAATTCTGCGGGATCGGGAGAGGGTAAGTTAGGGATAAATTTATATGTGGTATTAAATTTGGAAGTAGGAGGGGGATAGTATGTATGTGTGGAGCAGGAGGGTGAGTACTTGTATAGTTGGGTAATGTCAGCAGTGTGTGTACCGAATTAGAAAGTGTTTTGAGAATACTTAAACATTTTAGGCAATCTGCTCCAGTTTCCTGAATATGTTGTTTCCAAGAAAGTCGGGAGTTGAATATTAGTGCTAGAATTTTGCGGTGAAACAATAAATTGTAATCATACAAACATATCAGGCAATTTTTTAAATTAAATTTAAAAATAATAATGTTGGAATAAATGTAAGCAATTTTATTTTACAATTCAAAGATATTATTTATTTTCACAATTCAATTACCTGTCTATAAATTCAAAGATACGAGTACTAGTTGTATAATGTAATAACTAAAACCGACAAAAAATATACCTTATGTAGTCTAATGTATAATAATGTACTACTAAAAGTTTGTAAAAGCGTATTAACGAAAGTTTACCCAAGGATTTTAAGGAACATTAACATAAAGACAATGTAATCTATTTAACCTCTAAACGCTGTTTTTCCTGATTGTTGTTACTGATTGTGAATATTTTCTTACAGCTATTTTCGTGTGTTCTAACTCTTTAGTTGCTATGTGCTTGTCGTCATCTTTCTGTTTCCTCAAAATTGCAGAAAAACCTCACTATTTGGCGAAGAAATGCACAAAAAAGACAAAAAATATCATTTTCGCGTAAAAAGTCGCTCGAAGTTAATAGGAGGTAAGCTGGTGGTAGCCCTTCGGCTTGCCGAACATTAGGCAAGGAGACACTATCTCTCCTAAACTGTCCACCTCTTTATTACAGAGTGCTATAAGAAATAATAATTAGGAAAATACTGGAGTCAACATAAATGGGGAGTTTCTGAATAACTTGAGGTTTACAGACGACATAGTCCTTAGGAGCTCTTGGATATGAGTTGGTCTTAAACTTAACTTTTCCAAAACACAATACATGACCATAATTGTACTGGCCAAAAACATTTCAACGAATGATACTCAAATTGAACCAGTTTATACCCATAAGTATCTGGGCAACAAGATTAAATTAAGAATAAACAATAATGGAACATGAGAATAGTGGTTAATTCAGATATTTCCGTGTGCTTGAACAGAAAGGTCTTTGATCAATGTATAACCCCAGTTCAAACGTATGAAGCAGAAACATTAACTCTTACCAGAAAAGTAATCAATAAGATACAAGTGGCACAGAGAGCAATGGAGAGTTCAATGTTGAGTATATTTTTTTGCGGGCTTGATTGCAAACTTATTACGCAAAAACTATTAACCCGGTCCTAACGAAAATTGGCGCTCGTTTCAATCCTGTTTACACTGTGTGATTTGGTCAAAAAAATTTAAAGGAGAAACTCATCTTTTGCATTTTTTCGCAATTATTTTATAATAATATTTATATTTCCCAATGGTAAATTTTCAAATTTTTAGCTAGTAAAATATTATGTAAAATTAAAGGACGAAACTGTGACTTCCTATATTTTTTGGATGATGCGCAAGCCAAAAATTTTCGATTTTTTTTATTAGATTTAGATTTTGTTAAATAAAAAATTAAGCACTAAAAACATTTTAGCAAAAAAATAGACTCCCATGGAAAGTGTCCAATATGTTTCGACAGATCTCGATTGGACTATACAGGGAAAGATACTGAACAGAAAATAGAAGACATAGGAAGACGACGTATAACCTAGTTAAATCATTTGAGACAATCGTACATCTGTAACTGTATTGAGCTATTTAAAGCAGCAGTATCAAACGAGAAGATGGCCATAATGAAAACCAAACTCTACTCTAAGTAGATCACTCGCTACTTTTTATGAACGACCAACTGACCTTCTGCCATCATCGGGTCTTTCCCAGAAGGTTGTATTTAATAGTCTTTCCTAGTTCAAACTAAGTATATATACTGTCCAACTTATAAAAAAAGACATGGATATAACAGCAAATTTACTAAGATGAAGCTCGAAGGTCACATAATAGAACAAGTGATGGAGTTTAAATATCTAGACACCACATTATCTAGCTCGAAACTACAGTGGAAGATCAATTGAATAAACTAAACGGAGTCCCAGGTTGCCTGAATTAAACAATATGAAGAAATAAAAATATTGGAAAGAAATAAAAGGCAGAATTTACAAAACAGTCATCACATCAATAATGACGTATGCGACAGAAACACGACCTGAGACAGACAGAACAAAAAGGATGTAAGAAACAGCAAAGATGAAAACACAACACAAACACTGATGGTACAACACTATGGCAGAGCTAGAAGTATATATATACGACGTAGATGCAAGGTGAAGGTTATTAAGGACTGTGTAAGAAATAGAAGAGTTAAACAGTAGACAACAAACAGAGTAGTAAAAACGGCAAAAGACGGCTCTCCAATAGAAAGACGATCAATGGGACGACCACAAAAACCATGGACGGAAAACTTACTGGAGACAAATTGAAAAACAGACAGAGTATGTCTATATAAAAGGCAGAAGAAAAAGAAGAAGAAGAAAAAGAAGAAGAAGAAAATTAAACAAAAACAAAGTGTAAAATAAAGAGAAACCTCACATAAAGAGGCAGATAGAAATGTAAGACACAGAGATCATCGATATGTAAAGAAGTTTGATTCACTGCAATGACTCTCAATATTTGACCTTGAACTTATGGTATGTTGTTAAAGTTATCTTAAATGTATCTTATAGCAGACTAGTTGTTATAAACTAGATCTTATAAAGTAAATCCTTGCAAATAACGACATATGTAAAATAT